AGCTATTTATTTGATAAGTACCGGTGATGGATTTGTTTTTCTTCTTAATTATATAACCGATTGTCTTGGACGTGGTGGTAAAGACCCTTCTATAAAGGATAACTAATGTATTTCTAAATGTTGCAGATAGAGTGATAGAGGGTTGGATTGTGAATGTTGTGTTGTTGATGTTAGAAGCACATGGACTTTCTATATATATATATATATATATATATATATATGCATTTTTTGCAATCGGGACTGTCACTCATGTGTGGTCCTGTATAGCCATAACTGATGCTGCGGCGCAATCAGCAGCTGAAGTATAACTTTGGGGGAGCAGAACCATGGTTTCTAGAGACCTAAGGATGCCACACACACACACACACACACACACACACACACACACACACATATATATATATATATATATATATATACAGAAGTTGGACAAAATAATTGAAACAGGTGCAAATTCCACTCCTATATTTCAAAGACTTAGCATATTAAGAACTTTAACTAAAACTTCGTAATTGCAGAATATATCTATTGTAAATACGTTTATGTATCTAATTTACTGTCTTTGTCGTATTTATTTTTAGAATTTAGTAAAATTGAAGCTAAATGCCTGACCTCTCCAAGTTCGAAAAAGGGCAAATTGTTGGAACTCGTATGTCAGGAGCCTTCGAGAAATTCGAGAAACAGGGCAAAACCTCTAGCAACCGTGGCAATTCGGGCCGGACTTGCAAACTTACTGACAGGGACCGACGTGCATTGAAACGCAATGTGGCAAAAAATCATCAGACGACTGCGGCCAAAGTGACTGCTGAGTTGAATAATCATCTGAATAGTCCAGTTTCTACTAAAACTGTTCGTCGTGAGCTCCATAAGGCTGGATATCATGGAAGAGCCGCCGTAAGGAAACGTCTTCTCTCCACTCGCAACATTCAGAAGAGATTGAAGCGGTACAGAGATCACAATGCCTGGTTTGTAGACCAAGGGAAGCAAGTCATATTCTCAGACGAGTTCAGTTTTCCTCTTTTCCCAACTTCAGTGCGAGGCAGCCCAAAGAACCTTACAGCCTTGCCTGCCTTCTTCCAACAGTAAAGCATGGAGGTGGATTAGAGATAGTCTCGGTGCAATAGTTGCCCTGCATGGTAGAATCAACAGCAAAGATTACCTGAACATCCAATGGCCCAGACTTTATTCCCTGATGATGACTACATCTTCCAAGACGATAATGCTCCAATACATACCGCTCGAGTAGTTAAGAATTGGTAGGAAGAGCATGAAAGTGAGCTAGAACACATGGAGTGGCCTCCCCAATCTCCAGATATCAATATTATTGAACGTTTGTTGTGCATTTTGAAGCGACAAGTTAGGAGCCGCTATCCTCCATCGTCGTGTCTGAATGAAGTCAGGAAGCTGCATGATTCCATTCTTAGACGTATTAAAGCTGTATGTGAAGCTAAAGGAGGACCAACTCTATATTAAATAAATTTTCTTTGAATTTAACAAGTGTTTCAATTATTTTGTCCAACCCCTGTATATATATGTATATATGTGCTTATTTTTTGATAACTTAAAAGAATACAAAAGAACATTTTAAAAAATAACATATAACAATGTTAATGGTAATATTAGCTGTTAACGTACGAGGAAACAATCACGAATCAATTCTCCTAAACTGATTGTTTCTTGTGCATAAATTTTCAATACAACTACGAATAATCAATCAAGCAGTAACAGAACGTGGTGACGGTCAGATCGATGTTCAAAAATGTCTTTAAGTGAATGAAGCGTGTAGGGTTCAGCGAGGACCAGCCTTCTTTGAACCTCGTGGACAGGCGCTACAGAATCACAAACCAAGAACTGTACCAAATAACAGAAACTTCATCACTTGAAGACATCCAACACCAGCAATAACTAAAATAAGTATCATATGTAACTCAAAGAATAATGACATAATTAAAAAGCAAAAGTTCCAACCTACCCCAAACAAAAGGCAGGGAAGAAAAACCCGCATCACTACTGGAAAGAATTATAATAGTTAGTGGAATTGATACTATATTTTGATTGCAGACAGATGGCCAAGGAGTGAAGATAAGCGCAGTTCGCGTGGTAATGGCTGCTCGGTTAATGAAAGTCAAATGTTTTCTCAAAAGAAAACAGCTAATATTATCAATGTCATTAAATATTAAAGAAACACATACTACACTTTGATCCTAGCCTGATGGCCAGGGAATGAAGAAAAGCTTTACTCTAGTAGCACTGGCTGTTCGGTCACTAAATGCTGAATGTTTACACAAAAGGAAACGGCTATTATCATCATAACCATTTAGAGATGAGGCGAACAGATACTACATTCTGATCGCAGCCTGATGTCCTGAAGAAAAGCACGAGTTAAGTAGCACTGGCTGTTCGGTCAATGAATGTCGAATGTTTCCATATGTGGAAACGGCTAATATTAGAATTACCATTAAAGATAAGAACAGATACTACATTTTGATCCCATTCTGATGACCACGTAATGAAAAAAAGCGAGTTTTATCCGCAAGTACACGACGCAAAAGAAATATGACACAAAGGTGCAGTTTAATGTGAACACATAGGCAATAGTATAGAAAAAAGCGGTTAATATTATCATTATCATACTCTACTTTCCCAATATAATCTATCTACTATTTATCTCAGTCTCTTCATTATATATATATATATATATATATATATAATGTACATAATACCTCATCTCAGAATTATATCTTAGCACGTAAATTTATTCGTATATATAATATAAGCATGTTATATTTCAATTTAATTTTCTACATTTGATTAGCCTGGCGGACACCTTTTGCTTTTCATATTTTTTTCGTTAAGGAATTGTCAATATTGCTTAATATATTCAAATTCTTGCTCTTATGTTGATTATTACAGTTGTCATTGCAGGCAAAACAATATTTCGTATGCATTAAAGTATATTTGATAAATTCCAATATCAGAAACGAAATACAAAAAAAAAGTTTAACTTTCTTTCGTTATAACTCACGTGAATCAATATGGCCGCCAGTGACGCCTTGTTTATAGCTTTGTCGAATATTATATTGACAATCATAATTTTGACTTTCATTTCTAAGACTAATTAAGTAAGGGTGGATCAGTGGAAAACAAGTTGGTTTTATTTTGTTTTCGCCTCGCGGAGTTCGTTTCATTTGGTCTGGCGGCTTATTAACTGTAACGTCCTCTCTCCTCAGCGACTATTGATTGAGAAAACTTTTCCTTTTGTTGCAAAGATCAGTCAATACTACCTTAATGAGAATAAACTTAGGCACACTTTGATCTGGTATAGGTTTTTATTGAAAGATTTTATCTGAAGAAACAAGTTTATATTGATCGACAACATTTATAAAATAAATACGTAACATTTCACCAATCGAATTTTCATATGAATACGTCTTCATCAAATTAAGATTTTATATATATATATATATATATATATATATATATATATATATATATATATATATGGGATATGATATATTTTTTTATATATCAAGAACAATATTGGCGAAAATATATGACCAGGTGGAAAAAGTTTACTTGTGACGCGTTTCGTCCTTCATGACTGCATTGGACTAAATTTGTTATGCTGGTACGACAGCACATGCCCACAAACGAGAGGTTCTGGAAATTTTAGAATTTTTTTAAAAGATTATATGAACAGAAAAGGAACATGTTACAAAGCAATACGTCAAATGCTTTGGTCGATCACCGTAACGAGACTGACCACAATTTTGACATAAACAATGCTACCCTGTTCAAAGGTGAAAACAATTCACTACGACATAAATGTCTAGAGATCGCAAGGTCATCTACAGTAAATTTTGCGGCTTGGCTCCTACAACATTCCAACATTGCTGGCAGAACTTCTATTATCACAGTGTGGGATATCTACTAACAAAAATGATGGAAAGAAAAAGATTCTAAATGAAATCTGCCAGATATAAAAAAAATCTAAAATATTTTAAAATTCCGATCATCCCTCGTTCGCGCGCATGTGTAGTCGTACTCACATAACAAATTTAGTCCGATGAAGTTCTGAAGGCTGAAACACGTCACAAGACGAATATTTTCTGTGAAAATTTCTCGGACATTCAGGCCGGTAAATGTTGTTTAATACTGTTTATTATAAACAGAGCATTTACTTATATATTTGTATCTATAAAAAAATATATAAACATAAAAATGTCTTAAAATATATATATATATATATATATATATATATATATATATATATATATATATATATTTCCGAATTCCGTTAGATTTTCATTACATTCACTTACATGCTAATAGCCTTGGAAAAGATATAAATCTTCCTCCATCCGGTCATGTATAAACAGCAGGACAGACCGGGTAGGACTTGTGTGACGAAATCTAAATTAAGTTTGGGGACTTTGTGGTATGCACTGTGCACCAGTTCTCTGCATTCGGTTCTGAATCAGACTGAAAAATCAAGAAAAACACTATTTTTTTAATTGACTGATAGCAAACAAAGAAAATGGAAGGAAAGCATATTTCTTTTATTTTTCTCTCTCCACTCGGGGTTGAGATGCCGACGACGACTATCGTAGAAACCATCTGTTTTTAGTCAAATTAATATTAAGTGATGGTATTTTCTTATGTGTCCAATCGACCTCGCATGAAAGAATAGATTATATTTTAACCACCTCAAGTTCCGAAGCGGAGACGAGATAAAGCGTCAGTGGGCCACTCGTTGAACGAAGTGGGTAATGGGAAGGCCACCCACGAAGACTAACAACAAGTCTCTAGCCAAAATTCGCTCAGTTGATAAGACTTGGATTTTAAAACCGACATATTTCGAAAGGAAAACAAGAATGGAATTTTAGTTATATTTCTTTTTCGTCTGCCTAAGACGCGATAAAATTTATTAAAACGAAGAAATTTCTGTCACTTGTTGACCAAAGAGCTGTCGAAGGGAAGCAGCAGGTGATAAATCCCAGATGCAACCGACCCCAGATGCAACCGACCCCAGATGCAACCGATGCGATAAGAATTCCCCGCCGATGGAAGTTTCGGATGCTAATTGTATTTAGCAATTTTGTCTAGGCAACGTCTAGCTTCTGGGAACAGATCAGGAGACAAGGAGAGGGGTAAAGACCCAGGTAGAATTTCAAGGAAGGTGGATCCTTCGGACGGTGTTGGTGAGAGGCACCCAAGCGAGATGGAAAGAGTTGAGCGGATCAATATTCTGCCACAACCACTATTCGGGGGGGGGGATCTCCCCAAATTTGGTCAGACATTCAATTTCCCAACCACCTCATGCCCCGCGACGGCTTTGCGCGCGGGTCTATAAATACAGACGAGTGAGGCGAGAAACGAAAAGAAAGAATCAGACAGCTCGAAGTGCTGTTTGAGAGAGAGAAGCGTTGCCATTTGGTTCAAGGCCCGCTTTGCCAGACCCCGCGCAGATTCTGCAGAAAGAACTTAGACTTTGGCCTTTATTCAGGCTACCAATTACAACTTAATGGTCGGCCCGAAGAAATCACAGAGTAGAAGAAATCAGACTTCAGCCTTGTACCAGTTTACTGGGCGTGGCTAAACATGGTATCGCGGGGTATTAAGGAGGGGAGGTGCTGAAAATTTGCATGTTGTTAATTAAGTGAGTAGGACGTTTATTGTATGAACCTTTGATATAAGGTTGTTGTGTTACACAGCTGTCTCTTACTTTGTTCCTTGTGACGTCATTTCGCCAAAGCTGCCGGATCAGAGACGTTGAGTATACAACGCGACTTTCGCCCGCCTTGTGATCTAAAACAAACACAACGTGGCTAGGGTGGGATTGAGAATTGGAGTAACCAACTTCAAGGCTAGCCGTAAGGATCGACCACGGACTTGCCCCATGATTGAAGCGAAATTGTGACATCATACAGCTTCGTTTTACTTTTTTTTTTTATTCTTCAATATTTCTTTTTATCACTCTTTCTTCTTGTCTTTCTTTCTTCTTTCTTTCTTTCTTTCTTTTTACTTTCTTTTTTCTATCTTTAGAATTTCTTTCTTTCTTCAGTATCTCTTTTTTTATCTCGCTTTCTTTCTTTCATATTTCTTTTTTTTATCTTTTCAGTATTTCTTTTTTATCTCGCATTCTTTAGCATTTCTTTCTATTTTTCTTTGTCTCTTTCTTTCTGTTTCTTCGATATTCTGTTCTTCCTACTTTTTTTTTACTTTCTTTGTTTCTTTCTTTCATTCTTTAGTATCTCTTTTGTTTCTTTCTTGCTTTCTTTTTTTCTTCAGTATTTTTATCTCGTTTTCTTTCTTTCTTTCTTTCTTTTTTTCTTTCTTTCTTTCTTACTTACTTACTTCCTGTCTTTCGTATTTCTTTATTTCTTTTTTTCAGTATTTCTTTCTTTCTTTCTTTGATATTCTCTTCTTCCAGGTTCTTTTTACTTTTTTTTTCTTCGGGATTTTGTGCTTCCCACTTCTTTTTACTATCTTTTGCTTTACTTTCTGTCATTTTGTCTTTCTTTCTTTCTTTCTTTCTTTCTTTCTTTCTTTCTGCTTCTTCGACATTCTGTTCTTCCCGTTTCATTTTACTTTCTCCCTCTTTTCCTTCCTTCCTTCCTTTTCTTTCGTTTGTTTCTTTCTTTCTTTCTTTCTTTCTTTCTAATTTAAGTTCTATTTAACAACATCCTTTTCTCAGCTTATGGCTCCAGAATGATCCCCACACACTTTGGCATGAAAGCAAAACACTCAAATTGTCATATTGTGAAATAATTTAGACCTGGAAAACCAGCATCGAATTTTTTAAAAGATATGGCTGGTAACACTGCTTTCCAGCTGTCAAATGTGTTAAGTCGTATAGAATTAAAAAGAATTTTCTGAAAATTAGCCGCATTCGAGTTGCAACTTGACAGCATGAACACTTCTGTGTGAACTGTAAAAACAACTTGCATATTTTATACGTCCATTGATGAGAATCGATTATATAAAACTAAAAGAACATGTTAACTGAACCTTTGAAAAGCAGTTTTTAAAAATTAAATATATAAAAATTAAAATTGTCTAAATCAGAAAATAAAATTTTAATATAAGAGAAAATGGTGTCCAAGTTGTTTACTGTTACCGAACGAAAATTCACCATTATTGTCAGTCACAAAACTGTGCGTGGTCGTTGTTCGTTGCAAGTGTTAAGCAATACGGCAACAAAAAGAACACATGCTCAGAATCAGAAATAGATAGCTAAAGTTTCTTAGACACACCAAGAACTTAAAATACTTAACCCTCACATGCCATATTGAAGGCAAGAGAGATCAGGGAAGGCGGAACGGATAGCTGGTATCTTGGCGTAATGAGAAAAACTACTGTGGTCTACAAAGAATATGAAGTTGTGATCGCCCATGCCCTGAAGGAACGTGGCACATAGAAAAAAGGAGACTATAATATAACAAGACTCACACACATATATAATGTTCATGTTTTTGGCGGTGAACCAATAAGAGATCGGATACCACCGGTCTTATCGCGTGTGCTATGATGGAAATATTTTCTGTTTAATAAATTTTGAAAACAGTAGCTTTTAGAATCATCTGATATTTACAGCAATCCTTTTGCACTTAAATTAAAAGACGGACAATATTTCTGCCATACATATCCTGAACGTCATCAACAGCATCATAATCATTATATGGTAAATTTATGTAATTCAAGAAAACGAAAACTGTCGCAAGAGTAACATAATTATTGCTGATATTTACTCTATCACCCGTAATACATGCCACGAGTAATACATAGGTGAAACTACGAGAAATAAAATAAAAGATTATATGAAGGCACAAAAGGGATCTTTTACAAAACAATGCATTAGTTGCTCACTGTAATGAGTCTGGCCATAATTTTGATTTAAAAAAATGCCACTCGAATTAAAAGAGAAAGCAATTTAATAAGACGAAACTGTATACAAAGTGCTTTAATGGCTAGGTTATTTACTATATATTTCTGTCTCGGGTTCTTACAATATTTCACCTTTCTTGGCAGATCTTCTATAACCAAAATGCTGGGTACTTAAAAACAAAATAAATAAATAGAAACTGAATGAAACTGGCTAGACTAGAATTTTGAAATTTCAGCGTCCTCTCCTCTTCGAGCGCATGTGTAGTCTTTGTGCTTAAAGGTAAACATCACTTTTGCCTGATTAAATACTAAAAGACGAAACGCGTAACATGATTTTTTTCCACTTTGTAATTAATTTCCAAAATATTATTTCGGTAAACAATAATTCTCTGAATAAGCCCAGATAACTGTTTTTAATGTGTGATTATATTTTGAAAATTGGTTAAACACTTTAAACAATTATTACAAGTTTTACCCACCCTGTCTGATTTGATTTAACAAAAACAAAAACAAAAACAGGATGTCCATTTTGAAGGAAAAAAAAACAATATATTTATTCAAACACTGTTTCTGCTTGTTATTAGTCCACGGTTTTTGAATCCGGTGTCAGGGTATGAATGGCAGTAGTCTAGGATCCAATATCATGGCCTGTTAAGAAAGGACGTACTGGACAAGGCGGGATTTGGAATCTGTAATTAAATAAATCGCTGATGCGAAGAAATTGCTTTGCTTCTATTGGAATATTGGTTCCTGAAGTATGTGTAAGTGGACATATAAATAAATAAATATATATATATATATATATATATATATATATATATATATATATATATATATATACAATTCAAAAGTTTAAGATCACCCCTGCTAATTTTTAATTAGCCCCAAAAGTAGTTGTTTTGTAATTTATATATGAGAAAATTATATTATAATACATGGCTAAAAATGAACGACATGATATTTTATTAGAAATTTTCTGACGACAAAAAGAAAATAAATGCATTGTATGATTGAATTTTGCTCTCGTCATAATATCCTCGTTTAGCTTTGATTACTGCAGCACAGAATTGCGGCTTTCATTGCAAAAGGTTTTCAAAGTATAAGTTTGATAATTGATTTCATTCTTTTTTCAATGACTCTAAGAACTCTTTTTCATTTTTGGGGGTGAAACGTCTCACTCTTCTATCAAATCCATCCCATTCTAATGGATGTGGCTTCAAACTTTTGAACTGTTGTATATATATATATATATATATATATATATATATATATATATATATATATATAGTGGACTCTCCCGTCGTATTCGACGTATGAGGGTCAAGCAGCTCAGTTCATAGGAACCAGTAGTTCAGACACCAGCAGTGGTGAAGGCTTTGTGCAGAACCAGCTACGCTTTTTTGAAGGGCCGAATAGAGAAACCTGGTGCAGTACGTGCCACAAGGTCCACAAACGACCCTCCGCAGGTTTTGAATTCAGAGTTGTCTTTCTCTTAGACTAGTTGCCATCCAAGACTACAGAACCCAGTCTGTCCTGCTATTTACCCATAGCTGGAGGGAGAAGAAGAAGATTTATACCTTTCCCAATGATATTAGGACGTAAGTGAATGTAATGGATTCGACTGGAATTCGAACTCGGCTCTCTGATTCCTCAATTCACTATATCGTGCCTAATATATATATATATATATATATATATATATATATATATATATATATATATATATATATATATATATATATATATATACAGAGGAAGAAGAGAGAGATAGAGATAGTGAATGAATAAGTCTGATGCTATATATAATGGTTAAAAAGTATTTAAACCAACCCATCATAGAAATTTTAAAGAAGCCGACCTTTCAACAGACTCTATAGACTGAATCTATGCAATCACAAAGAACTTTACGAAATAATACAACCGACATCGCTTGAAGACTTCCATCAGCAACCATTGCAAAAAGTTCAGAGAAAAATGGTGATATAATCGATCTATTGACTTACCACAGTAGAAAAACCCCAAAGTGTATATTCGGTACTTAATTATGGAAATATAAGTTTTCTTTTAAGTATTTCACCCAAGCAGGTGATAAAGCCACTACGATGAGGGAAGAGGGTACAAGGTTTGAAAGAAAATGAGAAGGCGTTAGTGAGGAGAAGTTCAGTAAAGGAACAGTGTTCAATAAGAGTTGATCTTTTGTAAGATGCTAGTTGACGGAGAAGAATTGTTTTGGGCGACGAGGTTGGTTGTATTAAATTTAGTATGGTATATAATTAATTTTATTTTTTACTTGGATCAGTGGGGATATATTAGTGTTTATGAGTCTTTTTAGATATTTTTCTCTCCTGTTTATAACTAGAATGCATTTGACGTATAGTAGTTTGATATGCTTAGAGTTATTTGATGATGTATTATGTTCACTTTTATTTATGTTTATATTCTCAGTAGTTCGTCTAATTTGTTCATCAAGCTAGTCGCCCAAAACAATTCTTTCCCTTCAACTAGAATCTTGCAAAATACCAACATTGTATATCAATCTAAATGTCTTTTGGGAGATTGCATTTCTTATAAAAATGTTAATACATATGTTGGTTTTACAACGACGACGTTGACGAGACGCTTTACGTTTCACTTGAATGAGCATAGTTCAATTTCAGAATATTTAAAGGAACACTCATGTCCATATTCACAGTTTAGAACGATATTAGTCGAAAATACATTAGTACTTTACGAAAATATTAATAAAAAACCTTAAAATTCTGGAAGCCCTTTATATAAGATAATTGCAGCTAAAAATAAATAAACTCAACTATGAGTATAGCAACAAATGTCTTAAATGTTTGTAGCAGCAAAGTTTTTATATAAAATGGTTTCATTGACCTCTCAAAGGGAGACACAAACGACCATCTTTAGCCAAAGCGAGGCAAATTAGACGCATTTTTCTCAGCATCTATTGGTTATATCCAACTGCAAACTTCAAATCAACTGATACTATCTATCTATATATATATATATATATATATATATATATATATATATATATATATATATATATATATATATATATATATATATATATATATTCCAAACCTACATGAATACAAACGCCAATCCAATAAATATCCCCAAATTCTAACCTTTCTCCATCCGTAATCAAGCACATACCCTGCTCCATAGAATATAGAATTAGCAATAATTCTTCCAGTGAAGATGTGTTTTACAAGCATAGCAAATTTTATAACACTACCTTAAAATAGTGGCTATAAGTGCCCTGACATTAAATGTATAAAACATAACGACCATAAATAGAAACAGAAAAATCATTTGGTACACACACTCCATTTAACTAAATGGTTAGTACTGAGTTAGGGCAAAAGTTTCTCCATCTAACTGAGAAACGCTTCCCCAGAATGAATCCACTTATTAAGAATTTTTTGTATATCATCATAATTTGCTTGAGCGCGAGTAAAATAATAGGCACATGAATTTGTTACAGTGTATCTAAAATAACGGGCAATTTGTGAACAATATCCAAATTTGGACAGGAAGTTTAATACATAATATCAGGTATTTAAGAAAAAGGAAAACTGGTTAACTTTCATCATACCCGACAACCACTTTTCATTAAACAAGTTAAAGTAGTTTTGGAATGACGACAAGAAATTTAGGTTCAGTTAATTAAGAGCTTGAACTCACCTCTCTTGCGTAGTCCAGATGTCCAAATGCAACGAATGTAATGTTTTCCCTGATGTACACGTTACAAAATCGACTATGAGC